TATATCTATATCTATATCTATATCTATATCTATATCTATATCTATATCTATATCTATATCTATATATATATGTCATTTCCACATTTTATAATGCAAAACTCCCTACCTGTGGAATTTTGTAGAGACCAAGAATATCTGCCATGTAAAAAGAGATATCAGAACCAAGGCCTCCAAGGATGGCTATCAGGTTCTTCTGTCTGGTACATTTGTAGTTGAGAAGAAAGCTATTTGATTTGAAGAGCAGGTCCAAAGTGGTCCGATAAGTCATCTTTGCATCATAGTAGCTGTCGTAGATGTGGAATCCAAGAGTAACATTAGGCAAGATCTGGAGATCCTCATTGATCTCCTTCACAGCAAAGGCCAGGGCAAGGGCATGCTGGTAGAACTTGGTAACCATGCTGAAAAGAGAAGTTCATTCTTTTCCAAACATGCAGAAATCAAGCTTCCAATGTTTACGAAGCTACAAAACCTCCTTAGCCATAATTTAGTTTAGAAAAGAACATCAAGTAAAAGAGAGATTTTGCAAACAAGAGTTGGCAAGTAAAAGAGAGATTTTGCATCTTGTTTGCAAAAACTCTCTTTTACTTGAGGTTCTTTTCTAAACTAAATTATGTAAGTCTCCTAGTTTTCAAGATGTGGTTTGCAATTAAAAAAAACTGGAGAGACCGAAATCAGTTAAATCCAATTAAAATTTTTGAGAAATAAGAAATATTTTTTAAAAGAAATAAGAAATTTTTGTTTTTAATTGAATTGAATTTTTAATCCTAATTGTACTTTTTAAAAAGAAAAGCATTGTTCACCATTTAGAATTGGTAAGAGGGTTGTGGCACATATTGAATCAATCGATTAATAAATTTAAAAGTTTATAGAAGTTATTAAAGAAAAAAATGAAGAAGGGATTTAGCGCAGGAGCTACAAGGACGAAAATGTAATTTTCGTGAGAAGACAAGGAAACGTTGAATAGAAAGTTCCATACCCATAGAAAATTGTAGCTGATGTCAAGGTCATTGCATTATTATAAAGGAATGGAAAAAAACCACAGCTCACGTCAACTGGTTATAAAATATGCCAGGAAAAAAATGATATCTTTAATAGAGTCATGTTTTGTTTCTTTTTTATTTTACAAACTAGATATCATGACTGTTTTCACATCATAAAAAACAGAGTCTGGCTGATTTGTGTTGTTTCGTAGCACTTTACTTTTCTCTAGAATCTTCAGCCAATGTTTCAAAATAAAAAGAAGGATGGGCCAATGCATTGAATATTTAACAGTATGGTTAACACTGAGAAAACTATTATAGTGATACAAATCTATGAAATGTTCTCTCTCACAGACAAAGCAACTCAGTTCCACTTTTCTTGGCAGTCTGGCTAATATTTGCAGGTGTAGTGACTCTCTCTCTCTCTCTCTCTCTCTCTCTCTCTCTCTCCCTCCCTCTCCCTCCCTCCCTCCCTCCCTCCCTCTCTCTCTCAAAAGTATATTTTTCTTACAAAAGGCAACTGGATTGTTCTTTATTTGAGTCATCCTTATCCAAGACATGAGTGGAGATTCTCAGTCATCGAGATCATAGTTGACATAGTTGTCCAATTGCGTTTTGAAAAAGCACCTTTGAGATTCTTCTCCAAGAAGCTTCTTTGGTTATAATGATAACCAATGAACATTATGTGTAATGTATAACATTATAACTGTTATATATCCTATAACATTATAACTGATGAAACTTCTTGCATAAGAAGCAAAACATCTTAGAACATAGAATAATGGAGTTGGAAGGGACCTTGTAGGTCTTCTACTCCAACCTCCTGCTTGGGCAGGAGACCCTATATTTTGAGATTCTCAATCATCTAGCTCATGGTTGCCTCAAAGGTGCTTTTTTAAGAGGCAACTGGATTTCCTGGTTTTTCTTCTTTGAAGATGTTTCACTTCTCATCCAAGAACTTTCTTCAGAGCTGAGGAAGCTTCTTGGATGAGAAGCAAATCATCTTACAAGAAAGAGCAGAAAGTCCAGTTGTTCTCTTGAAAAAAAAAAAGCACCTTTGGAAGATCCTATATCATTTCTGACATATAATTGTCACGTCTCTTTTTGAAAGCCCTCACTGATGGTCTTCCATCTTCTTCCTCAAATGAAAAAAAAAACCCCAATCCATTTGCCTTTTGAAAGAAATTACACTTTCGAGACAACTATGACCAGGATTTCTGAGAATATCCATAGATTAAAAAACACTTACTCAGAAAACTCAGCTGAGACCTGTGAAGGCATTTCCTCAAACAGATCTTCTCTGAATGCATAAATAAACTGAGAGGTCATCCCACCAATGAGGAGGTCAGCTGGGTGGTACCACTCATGAGGAATGGGGATAAGATCACTCTGGTGGCATTTCAGACTGGCCCTATCTCCCACTAAGTTAAGGATCAGAGCCAAAACCATAGATTGTTTCACCGTCTGACAGAAAATCTCAGCTTTCTGCATCCATACAGTCTAGTTCATATCAACTGCCATTTTCATCAGTCCCTGATTGGGATCATTATCATTTTTGAGAGAAAAAAATAGTCTGGTTACCGCTTCACCGTTAACAAGGAGATCAATGCAAGTCGATGTATATCAGCTGACTCTGCTGACATCTAAATTCAGATGGATATTAGTAGATTAAAAAAAGAGGAGATTTGACAGATTCACCGTTCAGAAAGTCACTTATTTCGGGTCCCTCCTCTCAGTTTTGAATATCAGAGGCATAAATAGACATGCTCAGACATATTTTCTCCTGGGAGATAGTTGAACACTACATTGGCTGAAGCAAAATTGATTTGACTAAATCCAGAGAGAGATAATTCAGACAATAATTCTTTGGAATCTTAAACAATTGTTTTGATAATAATTGTATTTTTTACCTTCCTTCAAGTTTGGAAGGGAGCGTGCATGTTGAACTAACAAGTGTGCCCCTTTTGCAGCAATTACTGCCTCAATGCGGCTTGGCATGGAAGCTATCAGCCTGTGGCACTGCTGAGGTGTTATGGAAGACCAGGATGCTTCAATAGCAGCCTTTAGCTCTTCTGCATTGTTCGGTCTCATTTCTCTCATCTTTCTCTTGGCAATGCCCCATATATTCTCTATGGGGTTCAGGTCAGGTGAGTTTGCTGGCCAATCAAGCACAGTAATTCCATAGTCATTGAACCAGGTTTTGGTGCTTTTGGCAGTGTGGGCAGCTGGAAAATGAAGTCAGCATCCTCATAAAGTTTGTCTGCGGAAGGAAGCATGAAGTGCTCCAAAATCTCCTGGTAGACGGCTGTGTTGATCCTGGTCTTAATGAAGCACAGTGGTCCAAAGTCCTGTTGTTCAGTGGTCCAAAGTCCTCTTTTCTGATGAGAGCAACTTTTGCCAAAAGCACCAAAACCTGGTTCAATGACCATGGGATTACTGTGCTTGATTGGTCTCTTGCTTCTTCCTCCATACTCTGGGTCCTTGGTTTCCAAATGAGATGCAACAGTTGCTCTCATCAGAAAAGAGGACTTTGGCCCTACCAATTATAGCACCAACTAATGACAGGGAGCTGCAGCAGAGGGATGAAAGAGCCACATGCAGCTCCAGAGCCACAGGTTGCTGACTCCTGGGTTAACCCTTCATGTTCAACCATTGCTTGGCAATGCAATGCTTAGAATGCAGAATTGCAGGCTAACTATGCCCACAGTCAGAAGTTTGATCCTGGTTGACTCAAGGTTGACCCAGCCTTCCATTCTTCCAAGGTAAAATGAAGACCCAGATTGTTGGGGGCAAAATGCTGACACTGTAAACCACCCTCAGAGTAATGTAACACACTAGGGAGGGGTATATAGCTATAATAGCTTTTCCTATTGCTATGTCAGTGATGTTCCAACACACATCATCTCAGATGTCATTTTCTTTATTCTGGTTAGCTCTTAAACAGGACGCATTGCTCTTGCCTGTTATGTCAGGTGATTACAGCATACTTTTGGGTGTGCACACCACTTTCTCCGGAGTTTTTCTCTGCCACTTTCAGCCCTCTGCTTCTCACAATATGGTATCACTTATAGCAACCATTAATTTGAGCAAGTTTAAATGAGTGATCAACAGATTGGACCCAACCTATAAAAGAAGATAATTTTTGGTCTTTCTCCACCATCAGGACTAACTAAAGGACCAGTGGTGGGTTTCTATAATTTTTCCTACCGGTTCACTTGTGAAAACATGTGCATTTGTGCGTGTGCGTCAATAGTGGGTTTCTTTTGGTTCTCACCAGATCGGGAGAACTGGATGGTGAAAGTTATCAATCCGGTGAGAGGAGGTTCCACCAGTTGACCTGGAAGTAAGTTCTTGAACTCCTGCCCCATCCGTCTCCCCGTGCTCAGAAAAGCACTGTGTGTGGAGGTCCCTTACTGGTGGGCAGACATCCTAGAACCTGCCTGCCAGCAAAGGACTTAAACAGAATCACTTTTCTGAGCACGGGGAGACAGACAGTAGTTTGCTCCATCTGTTTCCCTGTGCTCAGAAAAGCGCTGTGCGTGGAGGTCCCTTACTGGCGAGCAGGCGTCCTAGAACCTGCTTGCCAGTGCCATGCAAACCTCTCTGGTCCGCTGCACCGAAGCTGGTGGAGCGCCCGCAACCACCTTCCCGTCACCAAGAAGACAGCCAGTGCAGATGAGCCACGTGGTTGCTCCGATCGCACGGGTGCTCCACCAGCTTGGGTGCAGCCGGACCGGAGAACTTTCTCTTCTCAGAAATGTCTTCTCAGTGAAGCTGTGGCAGCCTGCTTGTCACTTTCAGGTGGGTCCCCCGGGAGGGAGGAGGGCAGGGGGAGCATAAAGGGAGCTGCAGCCCCTCTGTGAATGGAAGGAGAGGAAAAAAGTTGGGATTCTCCCTGCTGCTGCCTTTAAATGGCAGAGGGAAGCCAAACTCCCCCCCCCCTTCACAGAGAACTTGCTGTTCCCTTTATGTGCATGTGATATTTTGCAAGGACTGAGAAATCTCTCATACAGTCTCTGAACAAGAAAAATGTATTTGCATGTTAATGGGTGGAACAGATGGGCTAATTATAATCTTAAACTATTTTTGGCTTACCAT